ACATGGCACTGCTCATCAGGCCATGCTGAGGTGGCGTCCCACATAGCAGAGCCAGAAGGACCCACAACTAAAATATACAACTATGTACCAGGGGGCTTTGGGGAGAAGAAGGAAAAATAAAAATCTTAAAAAAAAAAAAATACAGTGACTGGAGGTCACTGTGTGTCAGAACCATCTGGGCTGGTGTTAGGGAAGTTCTGAAAGGAGAATGAAGGATGGACGAGACGACTTCAGGGGCCCTGACGATCCTGGGGCTCTATATTAAAAAGCACATGCTGGCTTCGAAGTAAAAGCCGTGCTGTGAAACAACCCTGCAAGGACTGGCCGAGACATTACAAAAGAAGTGAAAAGAAGAAGCATTTTGATAGCCCCAAAGAGAGCTCCTGCCTGTTGACAAGACTCTCAACCTCAGAGTCTCTGAAGGAGGGGAGATTTGCTGGCCACATATCCTCTACGCAAAGGGACACACAAACAGATCTTTGAGATAGTGGAAACCGAGGGGGAAGCCCTCCGATGCAGGAAAGAGGTAGATGGGATCCTAAAAAAGGGAGAAGACAAAAGGGGAAGATTAAGACTCCCATCTCTGCCAGATTTTCTCCCCAGCAGCTCACCGCGGAAGGCCACAAGCGAACCATTGGTGGTGAACTGAGAGGATCCAGCCTCAGCTTCAAGCTATTCCTTTTAAGAGAGAGCAAGGCTACTAGAGTGAGTATAGGGATTTTTTGTAAAATCTTGCCTCTAAACCACATATATCCTTAATAGGCAAATTAACTTATAATAGGTAATTCCCAGGTTTCTTGGCAAAGAGCAATGCAGACAGGAGGGTTACATTTCACTATGTATATTAGTCTGCTAGGGGAAAGGTAGGAGAGACGTCAAATTCAAAGAATATAGGATTACTGCCTAGAGGGAATTTATAATTTAGATTTGCCTGAACTTCCCATATCCTTTTCAAACATATCACTTTAGTTCCCCTTTCTTTTGCCCCATAAAATCATGGTTTATTTTAATTACATCTCTAGAATATCATTCTTTATTTTTCTCTCTTATACATATTACGCCCACTTGGTTTCTTTTCCCTTGGAATGGCCATTCTGGACCTAATCCCATATACTCTCTTCTCCCACAAGCATCTTCTTGCCCTGAGGCCCGTCACCTACCTTCTTTCTTACTTTTTACCCATCAACTGTCATGTTTGAATCTAGATACTTTCAAGAGAAGATATGGTAGCTAACTAAAGGTAAACAACACATAACAAATTTAGTTTTCTAAGGTGCCATAATAAATGTCAACAACTAGACAAAAATTTCGAGAAGCTAGTTTTCTAGCAACAAACAATGATTAGCAAATTTGGGGGTTAAAATTTTGCATAAATTAGTGTTATTTTAAGTAAGATCCTTTATAATGATTTTGGGTTGTGAAAGTATTAACTGCTGAGAAATTAAAAAAACCAATGTCTGTATGATGTTAAAAATAGATTTTGGGGGCCAGCCTGGCGGCATAGTGGTTGGATTCACGTGCTCCACTTCGGTGGCCCTGGGTTCATGGAGTGTGGATCCCAGGTGCAGACCTACACGCCACTCATCAGGCCACACCATGGCGGCATCCCACATACAAAATAGAGGAAGATAGGCACAGATGTGAGCTCAGCGACAATCTTCCTCAAGCAAAAAGAGGAAGACTGGCAACAGATTTCAGCTCAGGACTAATCTTCCTCACACACAAAAAAGATTTTTTCCATTGAGAGCTAGAGATTGGCGGTTATAAAGAGAAAACTTTACTACTCCAACTGGTTAGAGTTAAAGGATAAGTTTATTTGCAAGTCATTAGACCTTGCTTGGAAATACTAATCTACCTCGGTTCCCTGAAACATACCCTACCAGACATCACCATGAGCCAATAGCCTTGTCAGTGTGTGGCAGTCTGGCTGCCAGGCGACACGGACATTTGTCCAAAGGCCAGAAAACACCTGGTGGGGATAAACAGGCTACTGACAGGCGCAGAGCTGAGAACTGCAGAACTGCCACAGGGAGCGGAAGGGCACTGCTAAGCTGCAGGAATCCCATCTCAGACTGAGGGAGTTTAATCATCTCTGCTTCTCTTTATTCCTTTTCTTACAGGTGTTCATAGGAAAAAAATACACACACACGCCAACCGACATCAGATTGAGGCAACTCTGAGGCCGGCAACTGTGTTGCCCTGGACTCGCAAGAGGAAAAACAGAAAGAGAAAAAAGGAGGTGCCAGAAGGGGGGTGAGGGTGGGAAGGGGAAGTGGTGTGTACACATGGAGACAGACCCAGCGAACATGAATGGTGAAATGTGCTGCCAACTGGAAAATGACTGTTTTTAACACTAAATGGGGTTTCACAAACTAAAGGCTTAACAGTGCTCCTCCACTGCTTAACTTTGAACTGAGAATCTCAGGGGACCGAGAGCTAAAAAGCTGGGAATACCAAGTACTATGAGGCCATGTGAGGTGGCCTATTCTGGAACAAACTGAAAATGGCTAATTTATGAGGATATTAAAGCAACCTATTAGAAGAATGCCCATTGTATAAGAGGGGAGGGGAAATTCTGCTTTGATAATTTGACAGTTGAGATGAACATCTCATTTCCCCTAATTCAATCTTGGTTTCCTTCAGCTACATGTTTCCTTTCTTTGCCACTCCCTTTACAAACCAAATGGACCGGCTGCTTAGAGGTAACTCCCTGGTCCTAAATGTAATGGGAGCTAAACAAAAAGGTCTTTCTCACTGTCATGAAAAATCTGCAAGGGAGCTGTGGAACGCTCGCAGCAGTGAGCTGAGCATGACTGATGTCTTTAATGGAGACAGGAGCCTGACTCTAGTGACAGAGCAGGGTCTGAGCTCCACAAAGGCTGCTAAGGCCCCTCTGCGGCCAACATCAAGGGGTTCTAAACTTAGAACCATTGGGGCCTGTTGCTATTTCTACATCAAAACCATTGGAGAATAAAGCAGATCCGGTGAAACACTGGCTAAGGAAGCCTCACAAACCACACGAAAAAGAACACGAGAGGCTAGAGAATTCCTCAAGAAAAGAGAAGAATATTCCTCAGGAAAGAGAATACACATTTCAACTGTGTGGAGAGAAGGCTGATTTGGCATCTCAACTTCCCAACCTGGTCGCCGCCTCAATCGCCAGCTCAGTCTGACACTTAGCGCGTGGCAGGAGCAAGCACTGGGACTCTCACGAGGAAGACGTACACTCAGATACGCGCTTGGGAACGGCTCCCACTCTCCTTCCTGTGGCTGTCTCGTATCCCCTCAATTCACGGAACAAAAGTAAATGAGCCAGTAAGACGAAGGGACACAGGAATCAATCAAAACATTTGTCTCTCCTGCGGATGGCTCTGTTCACATTCCAAGATTGTTTTTAAAAGGCAAGAACAGGAAAAATCACCACCTACCCTACAGCCTTCATTTCAGGTATTTAACAGTGTTTTTTAAGCTGCAGGTCACAATGTATTAGGTCAGAGCATCAATTTACTGGGTTGCTACCATCATTTTTAAAAAATGAAGTCAAATAGAATAGAGAAGAAAACATCAGTGTGTTTTGCAAGAAGTAAAAGTATTGTTTCACGAAACTTTATTTCAAATGTATATGTGTATATATGTACTGAGTCCTGATATTAAATGTTTCTACTTACAGTGAATTAAAATCTAAAAACTTGGAAAACTGCTGATCTATTGGAAACTTAAGGGAACTAGACCAGGGTGGTATACCAGAGAGTGTAGATGGACCAGACACATACGCATCGCGAAGAAGTTCACGCATCAACTGAGCAGCCTCGGTCAGTAAACAAGGCCTGCTGTCAGTTACCCAAGAACTCTCACGTCGTCCTGGAGACAAGCAGCGCAGGCCCTCAGTGTGAAGCAGGGAAAGCCCCACTGAAACTGAGCTGAGAGAAATGCTGCTTGTATACGTAGCCCCCTCCGGCATTTATCAAGATAAAAGAAATCTGGACTCTGGAAGGAAATGAGATGACAGTTTCTACTTTTAGAGTGTCATAGGCCATGGCCACAACCAAAGGACCCATTCACTGACTGAGAGATCAAGCCTTTGAGAACAGGAGTAGGTGAAGGGGCTACTAAAAAGAAGAAACTCCCCTCCTAGCCCTGCCAAACAAGCCCGTCCTTCCGCACAGCTAGCCAAGGCGACACTCTCTCCGCTCTGAGCAGGCCCGCATTCTTTTATTCCCACCCACTCTTGACCCCTGACAGTCACACCTTTGCCAATCCCCACTTGGTCTAATCAAACAGCCCAGTCACAGCTATACGGTAGGAAAGGAAGCCCAGCATGAGACGAGTCCTTCTTAAGTGGATACGCAAGTGCCAGACGGACAATACGATCCCTCTGGAGGTGCCACCAGGCCAGTGCTGTCTCTGGGAACTTACTTCAAGAGAGAAGCAAAGATATTCTTCAGATGACGGGATCTCCAGATCTCCTTACATTGAGCAAGACCTGCTCTCACCTTCCCAAGTTCCTCAGAAAGCAGGAGACATGGTCTACCCCGTTTAGAAAATAATGGCCAGGTCTAAGGAGAACTCACAAAATTCTTCACGTAGTCTCAATCTAATAAGAACATTAATTACCCATCATCTTACCATTTCTTTTAGAACGAGACGGCTAGAGACAATTCTAGCAATATCTTCCTGCTAAGAAATGAAAAAGGGTTTCTAACTCTGATCACGACTATTCTGTAAAAGCATGTCAAGATGAAAGTATCACATTCCTTCCCTTTTAGAAAGGGAGACAAGGAGACAAGGAGCCTGCTCAGGGCCTCGCAGCACGATGGCAGAGGCAGGGACGGCACTGCCACAGCCTTGTCTGTCAGCTTCCTAGGTTATGTTCCTTTCACTCCATCAGCTGATGCTCAGAGCCCAGAGTATACACTGCCAACTTACTTTCTGAGAAAGCTCCAATACAAGGAAAGCTGGTCTGTATGTGTACAGTTGCTATACGAGTATGAAGTCGGTACCTGCAGGAGTGCATGGTGCATCGTCACCGCCAGTTCGGCTAAGACATGGGCAGCATCCTCACCGTCCTCCTGGACCTCCAGGTCCTCCTCAGGGATGGTTTCCCAGTTGCCCTGGTGAGCAACCAGCGTGTGCACTAGTTCATACTGGCCGGGGAGCGCCAGGCTGACCCGAGTCTGAGTCCCGTAGGTGAAGCGGAGGCGCCGAAGCTTGCAGCTCTCCTCACTGCCCGGCCTGCTGGTGGGAAGCACCTGCACGCCCAAGAGCAGGTTCAACAGCCGGCACTTGACGTGACAATCCTGGCCGAGGATCAAGATGCAGGGGAGGCAGTCCACAATCTGCTGGAGGTACTTCTCTTCCTTAGGTGGGAAGGAAATGCAGCTCAGCTGGCCTGGTTGGGGAAGGGGAGGGTGGAGGAAGAGAAAGGAGTACAGAGAGAAGAAGTGAGGAGGGGTAGAGAGACACACAGGGACCCCAGTAGGACGCCAGGGTCCTAGAGAAGAAGTTTCTAGGAAGCTCTTGGTTGAAGGAGGCATCAAGAAAACACCCCAGTCAGAAAAGGCTTCTCAAATATCAAACCAAATTCCCCTCCCAGGCTCATCCCAGAGCAGCTGTTTCTGTCCAGAAAGGTGGCAGTGACAGGATCCACCCTCCCCCGCTTCCTCATCCAGGGGAAGGATTGCCTAAGGACTTTACAAGGACTCAATCACAAGCACAAGATCATTCAACTGACAAAGCAGGAAAAGACGAACTAACTGGGATGTGAGTCCAAGAGAAACTACACCTGAGTACGTCAAAATGAAAACCTGCCTTGAGGTAGAAGAGCCAACGCTTGAACACATAAGGCCCTTTCAAACGTCTCTACCACACGCAGCTTCAGATTGCTACTTTCCTCATTTACGATATATTTTATAACTAAATGTGTGAGCTAATCTTTATTTCCACACATGTCGAAATAAAATGTTATTCAAGTTTGCATAAGCTCTAGAAGCTTTTCTGGTTCATCTCTCTGATAGCTGGTGACAGCATTCTGCTGCCAAGTCATCTGTTTTCCTAAAACATAGGGTGCTCAGTTAAGATCAATATCTCCTAATCAAATCATATTCCTTCAGTTTACGGGTGACAAGACCCTGAGTGGGACAAAGGGAAAGAGCGCCTGTCAGGATAAAATCCAGGCAAATCCAGAAGAGATGTGATCTAGCTCAAAAACACTCTTTCAGGACGACCTCACTCATCTAAATGGCTAGCTTCCACAGGATCAAATAGTATTCAGGAGAGAACAAAAGGCTTCCTGAAGTATAAGAACCTCTGTCTGGGAAAAAGAAGCAGGAATTAATTGCATGGGACTCTGGGATTCTGAACTCCATCATCCCCACCGTGTTCGGTGCCAGTGCCTGCCCATGTGCAGGACTCAGGCAGCCCTTGCGTTTGTTCAGAAAGGCACAGACACACAGCTCTGAGCTATCAGAAGGCCCATCTCTGAGCCAAACACACACATCCTAATTGAAATCTGGGGTGGCACCAACTGAAACGGTCCTCCCTGGAGTCACTTATCCATGAGCGGCATTAAACCCTTCGTAAGCTGTTGACTTTGTTCCCGTAACTGAAGCGAGAGAGGCCTGACTCATTTAAGAGGTTGTTCTACTTCAGACTGTGCCTATCCGGCTACGAACTTACTATTTCAAATCCTCAAACCTCCTCTTCCACAAACGGCACTACCAAAAGGTTTAAAGAACTCAGCCTGCACCCACACCCCGGCACGCACTTCATTCAGCCCTTCCTTTTCTGTCGTCCATCATTAGTACACGTACCTCAGCAACACTGGACACTGACACAAGAAAATCTACTCTCCTGGGAAAGAGGCGGGTTCCTTTGAAAAAGCAAAGAGCATTAAATGAGTGCCTAAATCTGCGCAAGGTATTTACTAAGCACGAGAGTGAGATCACCAGATCACTGGTCTAATCTTTGACCTACAATCTAAAAGCAAGAGGACCCAGGAGCCGGGCCTGTGGCCGAGTGGTTAAGTTCGCGTGCTCCAATGCAGTGGCCCAGAGTTTTGCCGGTTCGAATCCTGGGCGTGGACATGGCACTGCTCACCAGGCCATGCTGAGGCAGCGTCCCACATGCCACAACTAGAAGGACCCACAACTAAAAAACACACAACTATGTACCAGGGGGCTTTGGGGAGAAAAAGGAAAAAATAAAATCTTCAAAAAATAAATAAATAAAATAAAAATAAAAGCAAGAGGGCCCAGCCAATTGATTATGTGACCAGTAGCAATTCTGTTCACAATTAAACATTTAGCACAGTCAATTCTAGTTATCTATTTATAATTATCAAAAGCAGGAAGAACCACCATATTTCTCTCTATATCCTCAACACCCAACACATAGTAAGTGCGTTCTGTTATGCATTTCTCTGCTCTGTGTCAGAATCCATTTATTGTGGAGAATTGTCTACAAAAAGCTATAAGTGGTTCTATTAAGTATTCTGAAAAGTCTGGTACCATGACGAATAGCTTAGGAGCAACTGTCATTCCCCAAAACCTCCTTCATCTCAACATGAGAGTAGATGTGGACAGAATAGGACTTCCCCACTCGCCTTACGGAATTCAATGCCCATAGTGTCAGCCTGAGCACAAGTCCAGCTACATTCACTCTTATCTACACTTCCTATCTTCCCTCTTTTCCCAGGCCTCCTCAGATTTTCAGATAGGTGTTTAAGTGTAAGTGCATACTGACAACCTTTATAACTCCTCTAACAAAGGCTGGTACGTAATTAAAACCCACAAACCCAAATGAGCTCTAATGCTGCTCCTAGGAGAGCAGATAACAGAGAATGAAAACCAAGCAACAAAAAGCATTTTTCAGAACCAGAGGGAGAGCTCTCAATATCTCTGAGACAAAGTGTCAACTCTAGGAAGCCAGTAAAACATGCTGCATCAGCCCAAACCACAGCTGACACATCCCAAATTATCACCCCGTCTCTGTAGTGGCAAAAGCAGTCACCACAAATAAACCTGCTGGGGTCAAACACCACAGACCAGTGCAATGGGAAAGCGGGCTGATGCTGAGCCCAGTTCTAATCTTTGTTTCCAGGCACCCTGCCAGGGTTCTACGTGTCACCTATTGGACTGAAGAAAGGTCTTCAACACGAACATCGCCATCTGTTTTTCGATACGTCATTAGCCAAGCCCTTAGCTTCTCCCACTAATCTTTAGCTTCTTCAATGATCTCCAACATGTCTACAAGATTTGAACAAGGGCGTGGGGAGAACGAAGCTGAAGCCAGCCTGTCACACGCCTTGCTTCTCTGGGCAAACGGGCAGGTGAGGGAGGAGCGCAGACCGAGGGGGGAGAGCACCAGCGAAGAGGGCAGACGCTCCGACCCCAGCCTCACCACGGACCAGCTCTGCGACTCTGGCAGCTCGCTGGACTTCTCTGAGCCCTGGACTTCTCATCCGTGAACTGACGGAGTTGCATTAGATCATCTTTAACATCCTTTCCAATTCTAAAATTCCAGGATTTCATCAGGTTTTAACTGTTGAAAGAAAAACCATTGAGGGGGATGGGAAGCTGGTCTGGCTGTTTTTGCTTTAAATTCTATGTGAATTTAATTATGCAAGCTCTTCCTGGACCATTCTAATTGCAGATCAAAAAGTGGACTGAACTGGCCAGGGCTCTGAGGACCTGCAGAGCAGTTTCCACAGTTCTCTAGAGAAGAGATTAAAAACTGGGGCCTGACAGTAGGAGGGAGGAAGAAGATCTGTTTCAGAGCTGGAGCAGCCGCCTCCCAGCCTTAAAGGACTTCTGAGTTAATTGGGTTTTCTTTTGTAATTAATATAACAGCATCTGCATACGGGGCTGCCAGAAGGTGACAGCAGGGCCTCTCAGCTGGAGCACATTAACCTGCCAACTCGCCTGCAGGAAAAGGCAAGTCAAACTGTCTTAAGTACAAGCCAAGGTTGTTTCTTCTTCCTTGATGGTTCTTAAATACAGATGATCTTGATGGGGTCACTTCTAAACAAGGCTTCAAACTAGAAGCAGGAGAAGAGCAACCAAAGCGGCCACCCATTTTGCGTATTTGTTTCAGATAAGGAAAGGGAGCAAAACAGACCAACTCAAAACATGCTGCTTTGGCATACGGATTATTTTAAGCTGGTTATTTTTAAGAAACAGCAGACACAGGTGAAGCTCTGAAAACTGAGTAGAAGTTACTCCTTTGTAAGAAACATTTACAAGGGAAATTTCCATTTGTAAAAGTGTCTGCCTCTCAGGTGCTAAATCTCTAGAAACTTTTCAAGGCAGAAGGCAGGGACTTCACCGCACAGCCCTTCCTGTCTCCTCTGCGCTCTTCCCGACAGCCTCCTGTAACCGGCCTCCCCCCACACCAACAGCTTTGGTCTTTCACTGGAGATGATATTTAAGGTGGGCCATTTTGGCAAGTTATTTATTTTTTCCCGGGTCTCCTGCATGTACACAGGAGGCATACACGTTATTAAACTTGTTTGTTTTTCTCCTGTTAATCTGTCTTTTTATTACGGCGGTGTCTCAGCCAAGAACCTAGTAGAGGGAAAATTATTTTTCCTCCTCCACATTAACATTTACTGAGTCCTTTCTAAATACATCACTTTATTTGTCTCATCTCATTTAGTGCTCATAATTCTACCAGACAAGAACTGTTATTATGCCCATTTATAGATGAGGAAACTAGCTTAAAAAACAAAGCAGAGGGGCCGGCGCGGTGGCGCAGTGGTTAAGTTCACACATTCCTCTTCGGCAGCCCGGGGTTCACCGGTTCAGATCCCGGGTGCGGACATGGCAACACTTGGCAACCCACCCTGTGGCAGGCGTCCCACATGTAGAGGAAGACGGGCTCGGATGTTAGCTCAGGGCCAGTCTTCCTCAGCAAAAAGAGGAGAATTGGCAGCAGATCTTAGCTCAGGGCTAATCTTCCTCAAAAAAAAAAAAAAAAAGAATAAAAAAATAAAAAAGCAGAGGCTGGCCCCATGGCCGAGTGGTTAAGTTCATGTGCTTTGCTTTGGTGGCCCAGGGTTTCACCAGTTCAAATCCTGGTCATGGACTTGGCACTGCTCATCAAGCCATGCTGAGGTGGCACCCCACAGGCCACAAATAGAAGGACCCACAACTAAAATACACAACTATGTACCCGGGGGGCTTTGGGAGAAAAAGGAAAAATAAAATCTTTAAAATAAATTAATTAATAAAATAAAATAAATAAAAATAAAAAAGCAGAAAAGAGCCCATGTTTCTCCATTTATCTAAGCAGATAAAAGGTGGCACACAGGGCAGTGCAGGAGCTGTCCCCAGGTCTCCGGGGGCCAGGTTAGTGCTTGATAGTAGACAGTGCCCGGACCAGCGGCGGAATATG